TCTTGTCTTGAATTGTATTGTGATTGTAATGTCTTCCTTATATTATAAAGCACTGCACAAACTGTTGGCGCTATATAAATCCTGTATAATAATAATAATAATAATGATAAGCTAAATATATATTTAAGAGCTATGTACGATTAATGAAAACTGCATATCAAAAAGATCAGTTCATTAAGTGATATAGGCATCTGAACATACTGTGTGTATTTATTATGTCTTTTCCTGTAAAAGTTTATTATGTCTTTTCCTGGGCCTCACTATTGGCCCTTTAATGTAATGACAGAACTCACAGACTTTAATTCCTCCAAAATCTCCAAAATATGTTACTGACCCTGAACACATTTGCATGTTGGACCTATAAGTGTGTCTATACCCACCTGACTGCGTGAGCACTTTGTGAAACATCAGATATTGTTCCACTAAATCAATATTGTTGTGTAAGAGAACATCATGATGTCCCAATAAACTCTTGGCATGGAAGCTCTAGAGAGAACAGCGGAAAGCTGTAAAGCTAAAACCTACCACATTGAGGTTTTGTTGCCAATTAGGGCCTGGTTTAATATCATTTTTAAATGATGTTAAAAATTATAGTCATAACTGCTATAGAGCAAAATTTGATTTAGCCTGCACCCCCTTGTACTGTATAGCAGGATGCTTCCCCCCGCAAGATGCCATGCAGACTTTTAGGACCTATGCCTGGGGCACCTCTTATCAGTAAAAACAAGATTTACTGTGTCAGCTCGTCCATCAGCCCCCCGGGCATACCTTTTTAAATATCTACCCCCCGACGGTCCCCCCAGAATGAGAATGCCCGCTGTGGTTTTGGGATCGCATCTGCAGGTCTATTTACATACTTCTTGAAGCACACTTATACTATTAACCAGTTGACATCCGCGGTGTTAAACCCCCTTCCCATCCAGGCCATTTTTCAGTATTCAGCGCTGCGGTACTTTGACTGACATTTATTCCGTCATGCAGCGCTGTACTGAAATGAATTTTATACCCTTTTTTGGGGACAGATAGAGCTTTCTTTTGGTGGTATTTATTCACCACTGGGGTTTTTAACTTCCTTCTCCTGGGGAAGCATGATTGTTAAAAGCGTTGAGAACTAGGACTCCTGATGAACTATATCCTCAACATTTTGGAATATTATTATTATTATACAGGATTTATATAGCGCCAACAGTTTGCACAGCGCTTTACAATATAAGAAAGACATTACAATCACAATACAATTCAATACAAGATGGTAAGGAGGTCCTTGCTCTGTATCCTTTGAAGAAAACAACTTGTTGGTTTACATTATGGACGAATATTTGATATAGTTCAAGGCCCCAGAAGGGTTATGTTCACATTATGTATACACAGTGTGCTTCCATGTATTTATATGTAAACGTTTAGTTATCTTTTGTTATAGTTTGTCTTTTAACATCAATCAATAAAACAAGATGATTTTATGAAGAATATGATTGCTTTTCTCTAGTTCATGAGCATCAATCTAAAGCCCCTCTTTATACACTATCTGGGTAATTGAGCCCAGAAAGCTTTCTTATTGTTAACTAATCCTGGGGTGTGATGCTCCTGACTCACACACTAAGACATTGCAATATTTACTCATTGAAGTACAAGTACAGTGATGTTACTGCGCTTGCAGTCCATTGAAAACTTTCTTCAAGAACAGTCTGTAGGAGCCTGGTCAATGCACCCGCAATCCACTGATCATGGATGCAATGCTTTGCAGCCTCCATTGCCCAAAAATAAAAATGCATTTTTTAAATTTGTGTGGGTGCATTTATACATTTTTTGCAAAAAGTGGTATTAGCATTTAAAATAATATAAACAAGAACAAACAAATACACCCAATAAACAAATATATAGCTATAGCTGGTAGTAGTTAGTCACATTAAACTGGACTTGTTCTGTAATGTTAAATACATTCTGTAACTTATCCAAGGAGTTTCTTCTGTTCTACTGAGTTTCAGGAACATTCCTTAACATTCAGAGTCACAAGGGTACCCCGATCCAATCACCATTGTGCCTTGTAATGTGTCATGGCAGGTGTTGATTGGCCAAGAACACAGAATAAGGTGGCTACACAAATTTTCACACCTCCATCATTTCCACAACTCAATCATCATGGTGTCATGAAGTTTGAACATGACAATGTTATATATTGCAGCTTACCAGTCCTTGTATGTGGTGGCTGTATTAGTTTACATTTTTTTCAGGATGTTTTCCTTTATTTTTACTTGGTGATCCTGCTAGATACCCACTTCCTGTCCTAGAGTGGCAACTCTCCTTTACTGTATCGTATCTATGGAGGAGCAATGTTGTCACCCTAGGACAGGATGTGTATTAAGAGCTCCAACTCTTCGAATTTCCATAACATAAAAGGGAGTTATTCTGTAGTCCACAGATCTGCTATGTGCAGGGCTGATAGCACTGCTTGAGACACCTACACGAAACACAGGACAGCACTAGATTACTGGCAGGATCAACAAATATTGTTTGCACTTATCAAACAAATATAACAAAACCTATTGAATAGTATATTTAACAGAACAAAAGAGAACAATTTAGAGCAGTACAAATAGTGAGAGTTGTCACCCTAGGAGAGGAAGTGTATTACTGGCGGGATCACCGAGTGAATATAAAGAAAATAGCCTGCCTGAAAAAGAAAACGAATGCAGCCACCTCATCTAGGTACTGGTAAGCTGCTGTTACTCGGTCAGCGCTATCCCAGCACAGGATAATAGTACCGGTGGATCTTAAGGGGTGATCTGCAGTAACAGGTCTCGCTGTATTTCCTCTATAAGAAACCTTTATTATGGATCCACAGCACACCTTAAGTTCTAGGGTCGGTTGCTATGGGTTAGAGCAACTCAGAAATATTCTTGTCTAGGGATAATGTTACTCGCTTTTTGCCCATCAGCACTTACCACCCTCTTGAATAATCGATTGAAGTGAGGTCCAGACTGTAGATGTGATGCTTAGAACTTTTATTGCAGAACTTCAGGGAGAGAGAGGAGGGGGATTAGGATCATCCAGGCAGATGTAGACTCCATTGCACTGCAGAGTGTGGTTACTGTCTCCAGGCACAGCAGGTAGAACACCAGCATTACTTGAGGTAGAAGTTTCTAGATGTTGGATCGGCTCAGTCTAAGTCCTTCTGCACTTCGGCTGACTGAACTGCAGCTGAAGGATAACCAAGGGGGTAATTCACAAAGCTGCGGAAGGCAACCGAGTGAATAACCCAGCCGAAGTGAAGGATAGCCAAGGGGGAGTGAATAGCCGAACGTAGTTCGGCTCACTTCACTTCGGCTGGGTTATTCACTCGGCTGCATTCGGCAGCTTTGTGAATAACCCCCTTGGTTATCCTTCTGTGTCAGTGCAAGTCTAACAGACAAGGATTGTCCACTTTAAAAATAACTGACCTCCTGAAGACTCAAATGACAAGAAACACCCACGATCAGAGGTCATGTGATCTTTCATCTAGATTTAGGTCAGAAAAGCTTGGGAAGAGCAGTTTTTTATGCATAGTGAGAAAGTTAAATGGGAAATGGCACTTTGCGACGTTGACCTAATGATTAATGTGATGTGTGACTTGTAATGCATGTTTCTGAATGACCAGATTTGTTAGTGATTTTGGATTTATATACATTTATTGATTCACTTTTTAAATGTTTTTTAAATGTTTCTAATACATTTATTAGTGTTTTATACTGTGTCTGTGTGGCAGAGATTGATCATTTTATGAAGGAACTGAAGAAGGAACAGATTTAGATAAGCAATCCTTGAACATCCTGTTCCCTGATCCGCTGAACTTTTCAAAGTTTGGAGTATTTATTATACTTGATATAATAGTACATGGAGGCTTCCAAAGCTGTTATCAGTATCTAAAAAAAATTACTATCAGGGCCTTTTCCCCCCAAATTAGAAGGAAATCGCAAGTCAAGAGAGGGTCCGTCGACTTGTACCTTCTGATTTCCTTCCGATAAATTGCGTTGCGATCTGTTTTTCAATGGATGCTAAAAGAAGGGCACCAAAAAAATGAATGGGTGTGAATAGGGCTAGCAAAAGTCCATGAATCCATCGCACTCCTGAGCGCTTAGTTCAAAGTTAACTGGTGTTTGCAGCGGTAGTTGACAGATGGGTAGTTGAAAAAACGGATCCAATGTGAACTAGCCCCATTTAGAAGGTATAGATGAGACACCAGCACTCCAGATGTCAATGAATAACATGTCTTTTATTGACGTGAATGCGGCATATCACAGAAGTGCAAAGTGCAAAGTCAGGCGGGATCCACTTCCTCAGGCAGGACATGTAATGCCTGAGGAAGAGGATCCTGTGTGTCCCTGAAATGTTGCACTTATGTGATATGCCGCATTTCACGCCAATAAAAGATGCGTTATTCACTCACGTCTGGAGTGCTGCTGTCTCATCTATACCTTCTGAATGGGGCTAGTTCACATTGGATCCGTTTTTTCAGTGCAACAAAACATAACACAATGGAAAGGAGTGGTGTGAACTAGCCACATTCACACCCATTTTTCGGCACATTTCCGTTAGCATCTGGTGAAAAATGTATTGCAATGCAACGGATTGCAATGGATCCCAACACAATGGAACCGTTGTGAATGAGCCTACATGGAACGTTATTCTCTCCTGCACCTCTTTGTAAACAATGAGATACTTGTGCTATTTTTTTTAATGCCCATAATACTGTTGTTACATTCTATTAATGCAAAAAACATGATCTTGTCTCCTATAATACAGTTCATAAAGCTTTATTGTTTCAGAAAGAAAGAAATGCTAGATGTGGAAATTACCAATTTCAGCTGCCAATCACAAAGAAACTGGCTCTGATTTAAACCTAAAGAAAAAAGTAATTGCTTCCAAATGTAAAATAAACCTCAAACGACAAAAGTCTACATGTAACATACATCCTAAATGCTGCAAAATATACAAGTACAAGCAACAATTCAAGACCAGCTCACCTCAACCAGAGACTTGATGAGATCATTAATTTTTACTTGGTGCATGTTACCTATGAAGGGAAGAGGAATGGGACCAGGTGGCAGCCTCCCTCTGACTTTCCATCGTGACAGAAATAGGATGCTGGTGATGAGGACAATGAGAATGAGACAGAGAATCCCACTGAGCTCCATGATGATAAACCAGAGATGAGAAAGGCAGCAAGGCTGGATGATCAAATGAAAAGAATTCCATATACCTTAATTCCTGAAAATGTTATGACTGTTATGCAATCTAGGCATTTCAACACTGGAGTTCATCAAACATCATTCACAAGTGCAGGTGTCACTGGGTCATCACACTTGGTGCAACGCCACTGGTGTACAGAGTGTCATATGGGGACAGCTAGTATAGGACTCTGTCAACAGGATGGCAATTAACATAAAGTATCCTTTAGATTCTAACATTATAAAGTTATATTATAATGAAATACTATGAATAAAATGTAAACCTGACCTATAAACAATGAGAATAAATATCAGTGAAAGTATTGCCTTTTACTATCAGTACAGTATTATTTGTTGATTTCCAACTTGCAAAAGAAAATAGATATCTGGAATCTGATAAGTCTGCTACTTTCTGCCAAAAGTTGTCCAACTGCATTGACTGTCTTTTTATAAATCTGCACTACGATCATTACAATTTTAATGGATCTTCCATAAGTTTGTGGTGCTCTCACTCATTTGCACCTTTTTCTTTGAATTATCTCAACCATTCAGTCGATCCTCCCAACAATAGACAGCAGCCTTGGAACACCCAGGACCTTATTAGGTCATATATGTTCATGTAGTCCAGTGCTCCTCCGATACTTATCTGCCAAAAGGTATCTGGATGGTTAAGAAACATGTAATCTATAACTAGTTTCTATGAGCGAGCTATGGACCATATACATGCGATTTATATCACATTTCTGAAGAACTGGCTTGCAGGATTGTGTACAGTGTACAGTATGTATCACCTAGGTTTCTCACCTACACATGGTGAGGGTCTCCAGTAGGGATGCACAGATACTTTTCGAGTACCAGTGCCGATACTTGGCATTTTCATGAGAACTACCAGGGTTTCAGCGGTTGCAGTGGGGACCTGGCTCTGGCGCTCCACCACTGTCCTGAAATCATTAGTCTGTATTGTTTTAGAAAAACTGTCACATGACAATAAACAAAAATGTATCAGTACTCATACTTGTAAGTACTCGGCAAGTACCAGTACTCGTACTCGCAAAACTGGTATCTGTGCATCTCTTTATTTATATTTATAAAAACAAAATCGTACATTAAAACAGAGATGTACAAATCCCAGGAGCTCCGTGTGCTCCTTACAAGTGGCAGCTGCCTCCTAACTTTTGAATTTTTATCTAGTGTAGTCTTGGAGCTCAAAAGTATCGGTACACGTACTCGTACTTGTACCGAGTACTGTACTTGGTATCTGTGCAACCCTAGTCTCCAGGGTTTGTGCCTCAAATTAAGAAAACAAACTTTAGTTTGATCTGATTCGTTCTGGATCATGGAGCACAGAAGCTTTGTATATCTTTGGATGGGATAAAGCCTTCATTCCTAGGTTCACATCCTCCCTGTTAGCAAGACTTCTTTAATTAGTCTCGGCTGTTCAAAGGCTTGTTATATGTGAGCTGACTGGTACTCAGGGCTCACCATTTATTTATCGAGAGCCTGCTGCTTTTGAAAAGGCTGCGCTGACAGACAGCTCTTGTACCTTTTTAGTGTTCTGTTTGTTTTGTGAAATTCATTAGGAAATACCCTGCTAGTTAGGAACTGATCTGAGTTTAGTTCAGTGGTGTAGCAAGGGGGGGCAGGGGGTGGCACTTGCAGAGGTGGTGGTGGGAGAAGGGAGAGGTGGGCACAGTGACAAGTAGAGAGCCGCTCAAGGCTAGCATTGGTGGCAGTGGCGGGAGGATTGCAGGTGGAGAGGTCAGGTGAGCTCTATACACCATAGCCAGTATGAAAAGTCAAGTGAGCTCTGTACTCTATAGCTGGGATGGGTGGTCAGTGGAGGTCTGTAACCCATAACTGAAATGAGAAATCAGGTGCAGTCTGTACTCCATAGTTGGCTTGGGAGATCAGGTGACCTCTGTACCCCATAGCTTGGATTGAAGGTCAGGTGAGCTCTGTACCCAATAGCTGGGATGGGAGATCAGGTGAGCTCTGTACTCCATAGCTGGGATGGGAGATCAGGTGAGCTCTGTACCCCATAGCTGGGACTGAAGGTCAGGTCAGTGGCAAATCCAGGGGGAAAGGGTGGCAAAAGGGCAATTCTTGCAGGGGGATGTTTTTGAACATCTCCATGAACACCTAGGACCAGCCCATCAATGAGGAGCAGGAGTGGACCGCGGGCTACCAGAGTGCCCAGGAACTGGCCCAGAGCTCCTGGCACCGTGGACCAGAATTACCTAACCCAGCACCAGTCCTCCATAGATGATGGTGTTCTGCATTAGTGTATTATGTATTGCTGAGATTTGTCGTCCCCTATAGCCGGTGGTATTATTCTGCATTGCTTTATAATTTATTGCTGAGTTTTGTAGTCCTCTATACAGCAATGCAGAATACCACCAGATATAATGTATTGCTGGAATTTGGAGTCCTCTTTACAGTGGAAGAACTACCAGGCTCACAGCGGCTGCAGCTTCCTGCCGCTCATACTGCAGCAGAGAAGGAGAGAGCCCTCTCCCCTCATGCGGTCGCCCCGCAGCAGCACCAGAGAGCAGAGGGAGCCGGAGATAAGCAGGAGCAGTATTGTATTTAAATAAAAGACAGAATGACAGAGGAGAGAAAAAAAAATTGCTTTATAGAAATAAATATTGTTAATCTGAGAATTGTACTGATTTTGTCTTCATATAATGTTCCTGGTGCCCAGTGTTGTGCAGAAGTATTGTAATAGAACAGTACTGCGTTCTTTAGTACCGTGATTTCCGTTCTTTAGTACTGAGCTCTGTGTTCTTTATTACTTGCTCTGCGTTCTTTAAAACTGTGTTCTGCGGTCTTTAGTACCATGCTCTGTGTTCTTTATTACCGTGCTCTGTGTTCTATAGTACCGTGCTCTGCGTTCTTTAGTATCGTGCTCTGCGTTCTTTAGTACCGTGCTATGCGTTGTTTAGTACTGTGCTCTGCGTTCTTTATTACCATGCTCTGTGTTCTTTATTACTGTGCTTTGCATTTTTTAATTACCATCCTCTTCATTCTTTATCACCATGCTCTGCATTTTTTATTACCAGGTTATTATCAGATGCATAACGGAAGTGGAAGTTAGGGAACTTTTTAAAATTTCATGTGATTGTGGAACTGCTTGCCGCAGACACATGTTTATTATTTATTTATTACAGGTATTCATATAGTGCTGACAATTTACGCAGCACTTCACATAGTGCACATTCCCATTAGTTCCTGCCCTCAAGGAGCTTACATTCTAAAGTCCCTATCTTACATGCATACATGTAAGGCCGATTTAGACAGGAGTACATTCATCTTCCAGCATGTCTTTGGAGTGTGGGAGGAAGCCGGAGTACCCAGAGGAAACCCACGCAAGCACAGGGTGAACATGCAGAGTCCTTGCAGATACTGTCTTCACTGGATTTTGAAGCAGAGATCCCCAGTATTGCAAAGCAGAAGTTATAACCACTACACCAATGGTATTAGCTAGAATTCCTTTTAAATTTGTCGCTATTCAATTAGCAAATCAAAAATGTATTATATGAATTAATTAAATAAAAAAAGCACAGTGTGAAAGAACCCTAGCACTACTACTGCTGTGAATCTCCATGAGGTTTATTCATTCAGCATCTGGAAGCTGCAGACAGAGAACCCAGGGGGGCCTTAATTGACACTACCAACTAAAGGTGCCCATACACTGTGCAATTATTGCACGATAATCGCGGGATATCCCGCGATCGTACGATAATCGCAAAGTGTATGGAAGACGTGCAACCGTTTTTACTGTACGGTCGCACGTCTTTTGTCTAGGGAGCACGCTAGAAAACCAACCGAAAATCGTACGATTTTCGGCTGGTTTGAACGGTGCTCGGGAGACAAATGCCGAACGGGCCGGTGTGTGCACGCGCACACTGCCCGTTCAGCATTGCGGTCATCGGAAGCCCGCCCCTCAGGGGGGCGGGTTTGCGATGATCGAGAGTACGATCTGCCTGTCCAAGATGGGCAGATCGTACGTTTTTTAAATTACTTTACAACCATCGCAAGACTAAGGTCTTGCGATGGTTGTAAAGTGTATGGCCACCTTTACAATTTATCTGCAGATTTTCTGTGGTCAGATGGAAAAAGTGCAACAGATTGGCCCAGGTGGAGATTACTCCATCCACACAGTTAAGTGTAGATGGTGGAATCTGTTGCACCTTTTCCATATGACCATAGCAAATCTGCAGATAAATTGTAAGGTGTATGGCCAGCTTAAGGCTGGGCACACACCTTACAACCATCGCAAGACTTTTGTCTTGTGATGGTTGTAAGGTAATTAAAAAAACGTATGATCTGCCCATCTTGGACAGGCAGATCGTACTAGCGATGATCGCAAGCCCGCCCCGCTGAGGGGCGGGCTTCCGATGACCGCAAAGCCGAACGAGCCCGTCGGCTTTTATCTTATGAACATGCTACACAACCGCCGAAAATCGTACGATTCTCTGCGGGTTTTCGAACATGTTTCTAAGATAAAAGTCGTGCGTCCGTACAGTAGTAGAGGTCGCACGGCTTCCACACACCGTATGATAATCGTACGATCGCAGGATTTCCCACGATAATCGTACGATTATCGCAAGGTGTGTGGGCACCTTTAGGAAACTGATAACCTATCCATTAGGCTGGTTAGAGTATCTTACCTGCCACTGTTGATTCCCCAAGTACTGCTGGGGTCTGCTCTATGTTTCTTCTCCCCTCCTGTCCCCTTTTATTACTGAGGTTAAGTAGAGTGAAATCCTCTGTGTTACCACATTGTGGAGTAAGAAGTAACAATATTTTTTTCATTTATTCTAAAAACTCCATTAAGGTTTACCCCAAGAGCTGGATGAGCACTATTAAACACTGAAAACCACTAAAGGTTTAAATAAAAAACAATAGTTTATTAAAAATAAAAATACAAGAAGTTATTTTTTTAGTTTTTAGACATGAACTTCGTTGTATGTATTGTGACAGTAGGCAGGTGAAATCACTTGGGTGTATCCAGAATGGCATATATGTGTGTGCCAGGTTCAGGATGTATGCAGATTTTTTTCCACTAGAGGGATTGCAGGGAGGCTGGAATGGTAGTGGTAATGAGCCCAGCTGAAGGAAGCTGACTCATTAGGGCCTCTATAAGAACTCCCCAACTGCTCAGAGAATTGCTCCACGCCTGAGTAGACTTCCTGCAAAAAGGCCGGGGTCTCAATGTACCGACCCGTGAACCGGTACTTTGTGACCCACAGCCAGCTCAGAAGTCAGGTATGCGGTCACGGACCGCATACCTGACTTGCGGGAGCAGCTACACGGTCTGCATCTCTGTCGGATGCAGACCGTGTAGCTGAGTCTGCGCCGGCACTCGGATCCTTTCTGCCAGCGCTCTTTCAGTGAACGCTGGCCGAAAGGATTGTGCAGGATCGATTGGGAAGGTCTGCAGCAGACCTCACAAATCAATCGCAGACAGACGTGCTGCCTCACAGCCTCCTCCCTGCAACAAGGTAAGCAGGAGAAGGGGGCCAGGGGCTCTAGATTGTATTTTAGGGGGGGTGGCAGTGGTAGTTATATTAAATGTGTGTGGGGGGACACTGACTGGGGTTGTTACAGGGGGAGTGTTTTCTAACCGCATGTAATCATATCACATATCATTACATGCGGTGTGCAGGCGTTTACATGGAGCTGCTGTCACCTGATCATTAACTTGAATAGGTGACAGCTGCCACTTGTAAATGCCAGATTAGGGATTTCTGCTGCAGTAAAACGCAAGTTTCTGACGCAGGAATCCCTAATCGCACCTAAACCTACAGATATGAATAGCGCCTTATTGTGTGTATATTGGTGTCTTTAGTACAAAACCGGATACAGTTACATTTTATTTTAAAATATGAAACTTGACAAGCGGCCCCCATGAGAGAAGAAAATTTGTCGAGTGGCCCCAGAGACAGAAGAGGCGGGGGGCAAAGATGGCAGAGTGGGGTACATTTAGTGAGGGGGGGGGGCGAGTTTTGTCTTGCCTAGGGAAGCCCCAAACCAGAATACACCACTGTCTGTCGCTTTATGCTGATATCAATGTGCTAGGGATCATTTTACTGCTTGAAACCCTAAGATAACAATATAAAGTTCCATAGTTCTATTGATTAGCGTGGGATAAAGCACAGTTCATAGGGACGCGGGATGTTCCCAAATCCACTCATCAATGGTGTCAGGTCTAAGTCTTTTGGGTCCACCGGAGATCTCAAGGTAAAGTTTTGTAAAATGGTCGAGAAAAACAAGAAGAGCTCCATTTTCGCAAGACCTTCGCCCAGGCAGATCCGTTTTCCTGTGAAGAGAGAGAGAGAATCAGCTTGGAGAAATAGAAATATCTACATGACAATTACTGTTGACATGGAGAATGACAGAATCAAGAGTGAAAGTGTAAAAAACACAGAGCAGTATGCAAACTGCAGTAATCTCTAGAAACCAATCAGGAAACATTTTTATATACTGAGTGCTCTGCTGCGTTAGAAGGAAGATGAATTGCTTGGTTTACAGAGTTAGTCCAGGGGTGGCCAAACTCCAGCTTGCTCTTCTCCAGCAAAGACAGGTCTACGCTCACTGGCACTGCCATCTTTTGTTCTGCTTTGGCCATCGGGAACCCAATGATGATATAATCGTAGGCATGCATTCTAGAGCTATATTTTCCTGGCACCTGTTCCTGATCTGACCTTTAATTGGCTTTTGTGTCCTTTCTATCTGTATGTGTATATTGTTGCTCTTGGTTATACTTTTGTCTATCCATATATGTCTACAGTTTTCTAGAACTCTGTCTATCTCTCTCTGTCTATGTTAGTCCAGCTAGGCACTCTTGTGGTTCATATAAAGGGAGTTATTCTGTTGCACAAGTTCATCCGCACCATCAAAGACTCTGGTGAAGACCAGTTGCTTCCAATTTCTGCACCACAGTGAAAGTCATTTACCATCATCTGGCAAAACAATAAAATCCTATCTGTATCCCCATATCATGTTCCTACTCTCCTGTGTGTCAGCATTGTATTCTATTGCTCTGCCCTGGATTTTTACTATGCTCCTGTCATCATATTCCCTGGTCCCAGCTAAATAGAGCCAGCCATTAACTGTTAACTGTGATATATAAAATATGTAATATGCAATATGAACGTTTTGACTGTTGGGTGCTTAAACCGGAGGTCAATGTCTACTAAATCGCAACATGTTGGTAAATGGTTACATACAACAAACAGACATCACTGCAAGGGTGGTATCAAGACCAGACTAATATAAAAGTCAAAGCCAAAGTGCCTAAAATAATTCATTGGGTTTAGCTTTTTTCTTTTTGTATGATGTCACTTGAAGACCCTTTTCCTTGTTTGTTTAAAACTGGCTGCTGCTTCCATTATTGTACTCAATAATACCTGAATTCTCAGATGATTTATGCATCCTGGTTGCCTTCACATCATCTTAGAGGTGTAGCAATACAGGTAATGTTATGTGTGTAGTACAGTAGTTGGCAAACAAGTAGAACATAGTGATGCATACCTGAAGAGAAAGGCATGTATCCCTCATTCCGACGGAATTTCCCATTTTCATCCAAGAAATGTCCTGGATTAAATTCATTGGGGTATTTAAACTGCTTGGGGTCACGGAGAACAGAGCTGAGCATGGTATACACAGTGGTATCCTAGAAAGAAAGAGTCATTATTATACATATGTAATAAGGTCAGCCATTGCTTCAATGTCTGTTCTTAAGATTGAGAACTATATAATCACACCCAGAACCGTACTGCAGAATTGTTACTGATCAATGTGCTGAAACTTGTACATACTTCATATTGGCTACCAAAAGGACAAAGGTTGGTTTGCTCTTGCTTTATTCAGTTTTAGTCTGGGGCAGTTCACATCCAATTTGATTATTACTGGGATCATAATGTTTTATTAACTGCCAAGAAAAGTGTGAAAAACCTAATAAAATGTTTTTTTTTTTTATACAAAGAGACCACTGCTGTATAAGCCTGGGTATGACATAATACAAAGCAGCATGCTTTATATCTTTGAATCAGAAATTCCTCTCAGCATTTTGAAATGTAGACACCGTTTTGCAACAGGTAGACAAACTTGTTCTTGGCCCTAAGCCTCTTCTTAGGTAAAGCCAAATGTGAGCAAAGTCGGTACATATGGGACCACAGGGACCATTCACAATCAACCTTTAACTGGTCTATCTTCAATAAAGTGAAATCTGATTCGTTGCTATAAAGTATTGCACTTTGCATATTATCATTACTTTTTGTACTGCCTAACTAAGCCAGATGAAAAACTAGGATGGTGCTTGTCTCTTCACCTTTGGAATGATGAAGCCCCGGAAGTGCACGTCACGAGTTACTTTGTGTGGGATTCCCATTGGTATGAGGTCAATGAATCTCTGAATCTCATGGATCACAGCCTCCAAATATGGCATGCGTGACCGATCTTCAATACAAGGAGCCCGGTTCCGGCCAATGACGTTGTCTATCTCTTTATGGATGCATTCTGTAAAGATAGGAGGCAAGGGCAAGTGGTTCAGATCTGCATGAGTGTTCATTTAATGCTTTCCTTCGGTCAACTGAAACTTCTGAAATCATTTGAATAAAATTAAAAAGTCTATAATAAAATAAAACGAATATCTAATTTGTATTTACTGAAGCTGTTTGTCTGGAATTCAGTATTAAAGGTTTTACTAATTGCTGAAATACATGAGCCATTACAGTGTATGTCAAGCCCAAATCTTTTCTTCTAGTTTTGCATATCGTGTGAAGGATTAGAATTCCTGTCAGCTACTATTTGGGGTTCTAGTGTCAAAATTTACCCTCACTTCCTGTCCTGTTGATAACAGTGTAACCAGACAGGAAGCTTTGGAAACTCTGAAACACACAGACAGGGCACAGAATGCACAAAGTTTCAGTTTTAAAGGGTAACTATAATGGTTTTAAACTGATGTTTTGTATCTGTATTTTGCTATCCATATATTTTTTTATTATTATACAGGATTTGTATAGTGCGAACAGTTTGTGCAGCACTTTACAATATAAGAAAGACATTACAGTTACAGAACAAGTCAAGACGGTAAAATTATTTTCCCCCAAAAATCATTTAATACATGACAAATGATTCACAGAGCCTTATAGGCTATCTAAAGATACAACATGGTAGAAGTAGCCTGCTTTGGGATTCTATTTGGCTGATGGAAGGGAGCAGTCACTGTTCCGACTCATTCACTTGTGTGTGCATATTTTAGCTTGAGCTATTAAGTCCTGTAAACTAGAGTCTTTACATTAAACTAGTAAATGAAGACATAACAATGGTTCAATTCAATACCCGGTGGCTTACACGGAGAATGGAAACAAATATTATAAAACTTTTTAATATTTACTTGATTTTTCTTTAACTTTATGCACAAAATCCTTATACGTCTCCTTTAAAGTTTAGAAGCATTCATAACTAAAAAAGAACATTGCAAATGTACAGCACAATCTTATTTCAAGAACAGCACAAACCTTCAACATCTGCGTGTTTAAGCAGGATCAGCAGTCCATAACGCAACGTTGTACTGACGGTTTCTGTACCAGCACCAAACAAATCAAATGTTGTATTCAAAATACCCTCCTTGTGAAATTCAGTGTGTGGTACATCTTTTTCCTGAGGAATTAAGAAGGAAACTCAAAGTTAAGAGCTGAGCAAAATCATCGATCACAATGGCTCTATACTGATGTCTTGCTCTTTCACAATCCTTTCACAACAAACAAAAATATACTTCAAAACTGTGAATGGTTTTACATAATAGACCTCCAGAACACTTGTTTTGCTACAGTACCAGGATGCAGTTACTGGGACTGATCATCCTCCTTTAAACCACCCCCACTGTCTTGTCATACCCAACATTTGCTGCAGAACTTCTTTCTGGGTTCTATCCTAGGGTACCCTTATGGGTATAGTTAACGTTTACTTATTATCTATACTGTTTACTTTTTTACTGAAATGGGTGCGTAATTTTGTGGGTGTAGTTAATAGCGTATAGAAGGAAAATCTGATCACCCTAACTTAGACATTAGTCACTGAAACAGACTTCCTCATTGGGAGATCCCTCCTTCCAATCCTGCTCCAGTGCCATTTGGATTGTCAGTTTCTGTCTCAGCTTATATACATTTTATGTCCAAACTCTTAGCTGCTAGATAAGCCTTATTGCCAGGAGAGAGAGAGAGAGAGAGAGGGGAGCCAGGGGAGAGATCAAGGAGAGAAAGCCAGGGGAGAGAGCGAGGAGAGAAAGCCAGGATAAGCAAGAAGAGACAGCCAGGAGAGAGAGTGGGGAGAGATAGTCAAGAGAAAGGGCGAGGAGAGGCAGCCAGTGGAGAGAGAGAAGAGAGCCAGAAGAGAGAAATAGGAGAGACAGCCAGGAGAGAGAGAGCGAGGAGAGACAGCCAGGAGAGAGAGCGAGGAGAGACAGCAAGGATAAAACCAGGAGAGATAGAAGGAAAGACAGCCAGGACGATGAATGAGGAAAGACAGCCAGGAGGATGAGCGAGGAGAAACAGCCAGGAGAGAGAGTGAGGAGAGACAGCCAGGAAAGAGAGCGAGGAGAGACAGCCAAAAAAGAATGAGGAGAGATAGCCAGGAAAGAATGAGAAGAGACAGCCAGAAGAGAGTGCGAGGAGAGACAGCCAGGAGAGAGAGTACGAGGAGAGACAGCCAGGAGAGAGAGAGCAAGGAGAGACAGCTAGGGGAGAGCGAGGAGAGACAGCCAAGGAAAAGCGAGGAGAGACAACCAGGAAAGACAGCCAAGAGAGAGAGGAGAGACAGCCAGGAGAGAGAGAAGAGATAGTGAGCAACACATCTGCCTGAAGCAAAACCCCCTGTTCTATCAAGACACCCTGTGTTTCAGAGACATCCTTGCTCCTTGATTCTAGTGTCCTTCTGTGTTCCGTGCCTCCTCTATGCACTCAATTTGGAACACCAGGACCCCGTGGTTTCCCCTGTCCATCTGACATTGTGACGGCTGGCCGGAAACCTGGACACAGCACATACAGGACTCAAAACCTGGACTGTCTGGATTCATTCTGGACATCTGGCAACCCTACAGCTTGGCTTTCCTGAACTTCTTGTCCAGTACAAGATCACAAAGGACAGCATAGTCTCCAGCAGCTGTCCATAGAGAAGGGAGGAAGTATGAGGGAAGAGCGGGGAGCAGAGGGAAGTGGAGTGTTGTGCCTTGCTATGCCTGTGTGTTTGTGGAGACACACACAAGGCTGGCTCCACAGGACCCTGCAAAGGAAAGGTACCACCCTATAACAGAAAATCAGGGCCAGTGCTAAGGGGACCAGCTATTTCTGCAGGAAACTAAAACTTTTAAACATCGAGGAGCAGCATCCATTTAAAGTGATTTAATCAGCGTTTGAAATATCTTAAAAATCATTTAACTTTAATAACATTTTAAACTCACCTGCTCCATCTTTAAGAGAAAGCAATCAATGAAGTCTCTAGGAGAACTTGGATCTAGGGTCTCTCTATGTATTTTCACCCTTTCTGCAATAAATGCCAGAATGCCATCGATAGCTTTAAACATTTTCTGATGAGGTCCAGGTATCTTTCCCACTACTTTAGGAAACACGTTGTACATCTAGAAGATATTTGCAGAGTGTGGTCAAGTCAGGGGTGCAATGCATAACTAAGTTGAATAACATATAAATGCACTTTTTAGATGGTCCAGAACGTTTAAATTACCTGTCCCCAAACAGAGCTGAAACCTCTGAAAATTTCATTGAAAAAGGCCAAAAGCTGGAGAAAACATTTGTCTTCATACTCAAACCGGTTTCCAAACACCACTGAGCAGATGACATTTGAAACTGCCTTGGAAAAATAGAAAGTTGGATCCACAGGCTGACCTGTAAGAAAGAGAAAGTAATGACTTAACAAACCATTTACTTTATACAATATTGGAGGGTGACTCCCACCAAAGCTGATATTCCTTTTTCTGGTAGATGCTGAGTTAAAGCATATATAAACACAAAAACAGAAATATATTACAACTTACCAGACCTTAAGGTGGCTGCATTGGTTTAATTTTTTATTTTTCCCCCCTTCATTTTGACCTGATGAGCCTGCAAGTAACACACTTCCCATCCTAGAGAGACAATGCTCACTCATTGTTCTGTATCTATGGAGGAACACTGATTCTCACCCTAGGCTGCTCCCCTGATTTGGACTTCAAACCCCTTCCCCCCTCTTCAGCTCCATTAAATAGTTGGGAGAGTAGTTCATAGAAAAGAACTGAGAAGGCTGGTTGCATGGTTTGAGATTTCAGTTAATTCCAGAGGAAGCTTACTAGATCCCTGGAAGCATCAGACCTGACACATCTTTTGCTATCACATAGGGTGGATTCCTAGCCCCCTATGTGATAACAATAAAGTTAAGTGAGAAAAAAAAAAAGGAAAAAAAAATTAAAGTTGTAAAAAAAATATATATATTATAGTCACACATGAAAAATCATTTTAAAAACACAAAAAAATGTGTAAAGCCCTCACCCATACATACATACATGCAAACATGAGTCGCGTGCGCATAGGTGCGAAAATTGCAATTGCGACCATTACGCCGCACATGTTACATATCGCCACAAATGTTGCATTGAGAGCAATAATTCTAGGGCCATTAATTACTGAAAACACTAAGCTGATGAGCGGTAAAAACGTTTAAAGCGTCGGCTATGGCCAATTTTGTGTATGGTATGGATTTCGCAGGTGCAATTTTAAGGCATGAAATGTTTGGTGTCCATTTACCAGACGTGACCTCGTCTTTTATATTTTACCAAAAAATTGGGTAATAATAATTGTTTCCTAACATAATGTTAACCAGTTGACATCCGCAGTGTTAAACCCCCTTCCCATCCAGGCCATTTTTCAGTATTCAGCGCTGCGGTACTTTAACTGACATTTATTCCGTCATGCAGCGCTGTACTGAAGGGAAGGGGGTGTAAATACCCCGGACTTCAAGTGGTTAAAAATATGAAACTGATGCAGCCACAAAATCTAAGGACTGGTCATGTGCAAAATGGTGCATTTTTGTTCTTGAGTTTTAGATATATTGTAAACAACCTGCCAGCTTCTTATATATCTCTGGGATTCTACAGGGCAGATCCTTGTACTGTGTGTTCCTGGGTTAGAACATCGGCTGCGGTCATTATAAGGAGTTCACAATATCCTTATTAATATATTTAATCGATTTGATATTATGTATATGTGCTGGAATGTACAAAAGTAGATTGGAACACCCAAATTCCCAGGTGGACAGCAAGAGAGCTTAGCATCTCACTTCTGCGGTATCCATGGTATGTAAAACACTACCTATAACCAATGTATCACTGCTGTTACTTTTTGGTGGACCTACTCCTCAAAGTGGTACATAAATTAGTGAGGGACGCCATGTAAGATATGAAATGGTCTTCCTTTAGCTGCTTTGAGAAAGCCCCGTGGCTAGAAAAGTCCTGTACCATAAAAATGTAAGCTCTCACATCCAGTCTTGCATTGTACTGTGACTGTACTGTATCACTTTATTTTGTAAAACATTTTGCTAACTGTATAGTTACTATACAGGTTTTATATAGTTTACAAAATGCTTTATACTATAGCAATTATCATAAACATGTAAGAATCTAGCCAGAAGTGTAACTTCAAAGTCAGGTCAAGGTAAAGCTGGGTATTAAAAAAAATAAAAAGTACACTTACTGAAAATAAATTGTAGCAAAAGGATGGTGTCTGTTTAAAACATCTCATCAAATGACCACTAGATAGTCACCTCTCCAGTGTTCACATGCTACTCCTTTGTCTGTGTCTGACACTGTAAATTACCTGAAGGGAACAGAATGGGAGCACTAAAGTTGTGAGTATAATAAGGACAGGAGGGTGGACTTTACATAGACAGTGTCACGTTGCAATAAACTCTCCGTTGGTCTCCTCAATGTTTAATCTACACTGCACCTGCATTTTATGAGTCATTCATAAAATGCAGGTCGGGGTGTGGATCCTGCAGTGTCATAGGGAGTACTCTCTGCCTAACAATGCAGAGAGCACTCTGTGACTGGAGGAGAGGCTGGAGTGTGACAGCTCACGTGACTGGGTCCTTCGCCTCCCCAAATCTATTTACATGATTGGGGCTACACTTGCTTTGAAGTCACAACTCAAACAATTCACTACACACTTTTGTAAAGCACAGCACTGTGCAACGCTATAGCCATGCAACTGCTTTTATAATTGGGCTCCTATGTGTTGTACATACTGTTGGTTTTCCTGAACTCTTCCGTAAGGAAATGGGCTTCTTCTTGGATTCTCTCTTCAATGCTTTTTTTACCCATTCCGAAATTCCTAAGGGTCATCAGAGAAAATCGGCGTAGCTGTTTCCATCGTTCCCCGTTACTGGCTACCACTCCTGAAAATGATGTATAGCCCCAATGAGACACAACTGCTTACATAATTTTTTGACTGGCAACCATCATTATTACACAATTGTTTAATCAAGTTCACCGACATTTTAAGCAAATTCCCTCTGGCTTGGGGGGGCCCACATAACGTTTTACCAATAGCTTTTTAGCAAGTTCTCATTATGTGCCTGTCTGACACTCTTTACATTGGACAGACATGCCAAACCAAACAGTATAATGGTGAGTATAATACATTAACAAGGGGCTAATTAGATTTAATGTGGCCACAGATACTTAAAGCTGAACTCAAACTGAGGTCTATAAACATCTGGCTTTTTAATATAAGAGCTAAGGAGAGCCTAGAAAAGGTGTGAAAAGAAGCCTACAGATTCACCTGCTCCCAGCACATAGAATACTCATTAGTTATATGCAATATTTTATAGCTACATGACCACAAATATGTAATTATTTGTCAGCCCTGACCATAATGACTACAACCATTTACAAAACCACTTAAATTGCATTGAATACTTAGATTGCAAAACTAAAACTTGATGTCAATAAAAAATTAAGAAAGCAGCTTCTTTCTCCACCAGGAATGAGTATACATGGACTTAAAGTGAAACTAAACTCAGGAGTTAAATCTCAAAAATGCATTCAAGCACCTTAACTATTAACTGAAATTTATCTTTTTTGTGTATAACTCGGCTTTAGATCCCCAAATCATCTCTGAATTGGTGCTAACACTGTCCTTCCTTCTAGAGGGTGGCTACTTTTGTTCCCTATGGTCCCTATGTGTGTTGTAAAGTAGCCACCACTCCAACATTGCTCCCGTGATTGACTAGAATCTCACGTTTAGTTTACTCATTTGTATTGAATTTATAATCTATCCCTGGAGCGAGCTTGGATCGGTGGCTACTTTACAACACACACAGGGACTATGGGGAACAAAAGTAGCCCCCCTCCAGAAGGAAGGACAGCGTCAGCACCAATTCAGAGATGATTTGAGGATCTACAGCCGAGTGATACACAAATAAGATGCAATTTTTAAGATTTAACTCCTGAGTTTAATGTCACTTTAAGGGAAGGTGTATCTTTCAAGCACTATAATACATATCTAGACTGGTAGTGAGAGCAAGAGGGCTGCATGTTGTCTAAATAACACCAGTCTGACATGCCTGCATCATAGCTTGGTATGGTGAAATGGAACCCTGATCCTAAATAGTTCTTGAGGAACACATTTAAGAGGCGCTGGGGATCATTGTTCACTAAAATCATCCAGATGCAGGAAAGTTTGCAAAATAAATTCAGTGGCTCTGCTAAGGCAGCTTCCAAACAAAACAGGTCTCTCTTGTTGGTTACCTAGAAGCAACTAACAGGATTTTTCACAAAAGTGTGAAGAGTTTGGAGAAGGCAAGAGAAGTGAACACTCTAGGCCAATATAGCTGATTTGCAAAGTGAGCTGCATTGGAGAATTTTTCCAAATTTAATATTAATTATTTCATTATTTTGGCCTAGAATGTTCACTTCTCCTGCCTTCTCCAAACTCTTCACCCTTTTGTGAATAACCCTGTTAATGTTTAGAAATAAAGGGAACCAAACCAAAAGGTGAAAGTTTCCAAAATTTCCTTTAATTCTTCACAATTCGATCAAACAAAAACAGCCTATGTAGTTCCTGTCCAATGAAGGCACTGTAAAAACGACAGATACATACTCTAAGTTAATTCTTACCATGTCCTCCTGAGCTTATCCTGTCCAGTAGAGGCATGTGTCCCCGAGCACCAAAATCATCCGCGTTATCAATGAGGGCCTCCTTGACGGCATCATAACTGCAGAGCACTACAACTTTTTCCATGCCCATATGAATTGTATATACTGGGCCATACTTTTCACTCAGCTGTGGGACAAATAAGATAGTAAGTGCTAATTTATTTTTGGAAATTTCATAACATGTCAGTGTTCTGGAAACCCAAAAAGGTGCATCCCAGTGCAAATTATTACATATAAGACCCAGATCACACAACAGTGCCACGCTGGTGGTTTCTATTACTTTGACAACTCACAAACTGCTGTAGAGTTGTCAGCTGTTCCATTTTTCTTTCACAAAGGTTTTATTTGGTTTTTATAATTTTTGGTTTCACATAAAGGTTACAATCAATAAGAGAACAGAAATAGGGCATGCAAGCCCCGCAACAAGGAACACAAACTGAAAGTATGCAGTCATAACATTGTGCAGCGCCCTGCAAACTGTAAAACTAATCAACGAGCTGTTCCATTTTTCTAGGGACAGTCCCCAATTTTGAAGAATCTTCCATTGCCTTAGAAATGTGACCAGCACCACCAATGTGCTCTATTCCCAAATGTTATTTCTATTGAAGTTTAAAGTAAAAACATGAGTTTGGGTGCACTGCTTGAGCTGACCTCCTAATCCCGCAAATAGTTACCTTTTTCCAGGTTCACCCTGAATTTCTTTACCTGCTCCCTCACTTTCCCATCAGTCTATTAGCCACAGCCATGGGTGAGTTCTAGGTAAGGAAGAGGCTCTAGTTGGATGCTGAGGCAGAGGAACCAATTACACAGGTCCGATCCTTTGCCAGCAGAACGAAAGAAAATTGTTCTCTCTTACGTTATGATTTTAAAAAGTCAAACCAAATTAAAATACTTATCTTTCCCACCTGTAATCCTTGATATGATTTATCAAAAGTCAAAAAAAAATCAGTCATGGAGAGAGTGAGGAACCTCTACCTGGATTGTGTTGCTGACTGCGTGCACCTTGAGAAGATTACTCCTCATTTGCTGCTCCTGAGACTGGTGTCAGCGAATGAGGAAGCGACGGGAAATCTTTCCAGTGGCAAAACAGCAATAAAAACTTGAAAAGGTTCAC